TAGGTGACACATGCAATTGGAATTGAGCAACGCCTAGGAATCATCCGAGAGTGCACAATACCGATCAACAGTGCAAATTTTGTGAGTGTTAGTAAAACCGTGGGCCTTCTGAGGAAACTGATTGAAAATCCATGCTATTTCGATGCCATTTGGCTAAGCAGGTAGTAATGGATTCTATTGTACAGGATTATATCCACCCCTCCATGTCCAGTCCTGTCGCAGACGTATCTTTAGATGTCTCATATGGACTTTTCCGATAGAGTGTGAATCTGGCAGATCTGCGGAACGTGTGCCAATGACATCCACTGCACATCTTACTCCAGGGCAAAGATGGTACGTCATTATGCACGATTCGCATCTTCATATGCGCAGGAGCATCGATATATGCTCTTTAGCAGAATAGCATCCTTTTCTGATGGAATTAAAGGCGAGGAGAAAGCACATGGAGAGCGCCGCCGATTTCCTGAGTCCGTGAAAGGTATCAGAGAAAGTGAGCTGTCTAAAGCGGTATAAATATTGGGCACGCAAATCAAAGTCCAAAACTCCCTCAAAGTGCGAAGTGCTAGGAAAAAGGAGAGAAGCCGAAAATCTTAGTTTCTCTCTGCAAGCGCAGAATGTGCTGTCTCTCGAACATGAACGCCCATTGAGTGGTTTTACCACCCTCAATCTGGTACGAGGACTAAGAATAGTACACAAGTATTTTATCGGCTTTGCGAGTGATTAATTGGGCGGAAATTCCTTTTGAAATGCCATTACGATTCCAAATGGAGGCAGTTTGCGAGGCTCTTAGGCCTAAGGCTTTTCAGTTGGCCATGCCAGCGCCAGAAAGTCTCTTTTTTGATGGATATACCTTGGGAACCCATGCAATGGAACACCATCATGGCTGTCAAATCAATCATCTGCAGAGGCTTTTGGCAAAAGAGGTAGTCTCAATGTGTTCCTATGAGACAGACTGATCAATGATCAAATATGGCGAACACAGATGCGAGTAGGGAGTTAATCTGTCCAATGAGCGGAGTAGGTATGCGCCTTCCTCAATGACGCACTCCTACTTACCGTCCTAGAAAGGAAAGTGCACCAGTGAGGAAGGCAGAGGGTTCACTGTCGTGGAGTGCCCCATGTTTTGGGACTTAGAGAAGAGAGCTGCTAGGAGATCCGCATCTCGCTGTAAGTAGGAAGCTATCGTTGGAGTTTTTTCCCTGTTTGCTCGACCACAGGATCAATTTCATGCAATGGGCTAACAATAGCTTACATTCTGTTGACTTCTATTGATCGGTATTATCCTTGCCTCGAGGGATTGCCGGACGTTTTCCTGTCGGCCGCTAGTTTAAAGATAGACTCAGTGCTGAACCTATCCGCAGGAATCCTCCTTTGCCCATGTGGTTCATTCCACGGTTTCAGAGACTGTCTCACTATGGCAATCCCACAGTGAGCGCGAGACTGCTGCGGTCGGTAACCTGAAGATGCACCGCTTGCAGCTATTGCCTCGCCCATTTTGGGACGAGACCTGCCAGCAGTTCTGGCTACAAGTACAATTCGCAGTCAATCCGCGTGGAACCAAGCTGTAGCTTACCTCACCCCTTGCTAAGGACATTTTGCCTTTTCCCTTGACTTTTCGAAATGGAACATCTTCAACGAAATACAAATTCATTCCATAAGGTACGATGTGTTTTGGGGTTCTTCAGTCCATCGACAATGCACTGGTGCAAAAGTTCGTCGAACACCGTCACGGCCGTCGTGAATCTGATCTCCAATCCAAACTCCGTCGCGCGCTTCGTTGGAAAGCGGCGTCTTCTCAATTTCCATTAGCCTGTCGACTGGAGCAACTATTTTCGGTTATACTTTGTCTACTGTCGCCACTTACGACCTAGGAACATCATCATCTGCGGGCGCGTCGTCGCACGCTAATCCCACCATCACGATTGTCCTGCCCTACCATTACGATTGTCTGGTCCGAATACCCCTCCCTCTCCTTCCCCAGGGCCAATCTATGGGGTCATCCGACGCGAGCCTGAATGGAAATTGCATGTGTGCTGTATTTCTGGAGAATGATCAATGCTACTCACTCCAGGTCTCATACACTCCTTTATCCCTGAGACGGAGTAGGCGTGGCTTTTGAGCATGGCATAGGACGGGTTTCTCGTGGGATACTTCAATTTGAAACAACTGCTATCTTGTTCTGTGTTAGATGTAGACATGATTACGACTGCTCCAAAATGACAATATCTCACGAAAACCTGGGCCGCCGCCATTTCAAAATCAAGTACGCAGCCACGCCTACCCGATCTCAGGGATTTCGAGTATACATCAGCCGAATTCAAGGGAAACTGGCTTACGGGTGTCGTATCGGATTGAAATATTGATTTCGAGTGACACGAAAATCCCGCTAGCATGCGTCAACTAGTATTGTGGTTTTGGAGTCCAGGTGTAAAGTGCGGAGCAGTTTATTCAGCTGAATCAGCAAAACCCAAGCACACAAAGAGGTATTCCCTCTATTACATTCCCTCTATTACTCCTTCCACGAGTACTGCGGCAGCTTTTCACCGTTTCATTTTCTGTAAGTATTGATGACGATCGCTTGGGGGGGGGGTGAGCATGAGCAGAGCTAGTCTCCAATAGTGTCGTCCTCTCCGAAGAACTCCTTTTTCTGAGACGGTTGAGGGAATGCTGCATGTCTCCAACCATACGATGAATGCGGACAGTACCTTTGAAGAACCTCGCTGCATTTGGAACATGTCTGACTGTATATTCAGCAGATTACGCAGATGAGCTTCTGCAGTGTCAGATCCTTTTCTCATCGCCCCCCCCCCTCTCCTACCCACCCTTTTTCCGCAGTTGTGAGGCTTTTACTGTTAATTTTCTATTCGAGTTACTTTAGAAAATCCCTGGAAAAGTTGAATAAGCGAAATCGGAACCAACTGTAAGGGATCTCCAAGGCTTGCGTTCAACATATGTTTGCTCAGACGATCTTGAAAAAATAAAAGGCTTTGATTGTGCTCGCAAGTGCTAGCGGTTAGTTTACATCACTCGACGATCACCAGGAGGCTCGACGACTAACGGAAAGATCAAGTCCATTTTTTGAGTGAACAAGTCCCAACGGCAAATAATTTACCATTTCTGCAGCTCGAAAATACATGGCGGGGAATTCCGGAGCTTGTGAATTGAGCTTCCCACGCTGAAAGGGTAAGATGCCCACTGCAAAATTTTGCGTGGAAAATAATGGTTTCGCTCATCTGTACGTTCTGTCCTTCGCCGTCTCGTCTCTCTTACAAGCGCTCAGTGTTTCTCCACTGCATGCTAACACTGAACAAGCTGCACAAGGTGAAGCTTTATTCACCGCGCTTACGGAAATGCCTTTTAGCCCTGTTTCTTTACTTTTTGTGTTTTCTTTCCGTGTAAAATGCCTCTTTGCCCACAATGTGTCTGTTTGCTTGTGTCCGCTACTTTTAATGACCATATGAGCATTAAAATTCTATGGAGAGGTAAGAAAATCAAAGAGGCAGGATGATCTCACATGACTTTCAGACAATGACGGTCTCATACAACTTGGACATGTCATCCGTGTCCGCTTTTTCATTTCTACGTCTTCTTATTTCGATGGCGTGGATCAATATGGAAATCGATTACCTCAGAGCTATTTGTTTGGTTATGTGGCTATTATGCGGTGTTTTTCATCTACAGGAATCTGCTTACGGGTGACAGTCAGAGGTTAGTCTGGCCCATGGGTTGTGTTCGCCAGCTATTACTGGAACTGTAGGCTAGGATGCTGGAAATGAAAATTGTTCTTTTCCATTTTCTCGGCTGTCTTTTATGTCTTGACTTCTTGGGCTAGTTCCTGTTGAGTAAAACATCTCACTTTGGGGGTGGAGAGGGGGGGGGGAACCTGTGCACCTTCACCAAATGTTGGCGAAGCTCCTGCTATTGCATAGCTTTGAAGGACTTTACATGTCTCCACAAGAAGCATCGTAACTCGAAGAAGGGAACCTGCGAAATACCCCTCAAGCCGAGCTTCACTAGGAAAAGCTATTCGTTGTTTCAAGGCATTATTGATTTTTTTCAGGCAGTTTGAAAAATTCGCTATGTACTGTGAATCGAAGCTGGCGTACATCCCGCTCACGTTTATGCTTGGATTCTTCGTAACGATCGTCGTTGATAGATGGAGATCCATCTTCCAGAATATGGGATGGATAGAAAAGTAAGTATTTCTCGCAAAAAAAACAGACAGAGTCATAGCTGGTCTGATTCCTAGGCTGTGATGGTACACAATTTCAGTCTGGCTTTGACAGTGTCCGCTCTATTGAGAGGCGATTCCAAGGAGGCCATCCTCTACAGGCGCTCCATAATTCGTTACACAGTTCTAGGTCAGGTAAGCCTTTTGGAAAGCTCCTCAAAAAAGTATGTTCCTTGTTTTTCGACTATTCTGCAGGGCACATGGGGAACTCTCGAAGAGGGGTCGTGTTTGGCTGCTAGAGTGGGTCAGGGTTGCGTCTCGCCTCGAAAATAAAATTCCTGCTTGACAATGAACTGTTTCCCCAGTGTTTTCATTCTGCTAAACCTCCAGCACACCACGGCAGAAATTTTTGGTACTCGATCGTAGGTGACTAAGCCTCTACCCTTCCAGCTCTACGAGTTCTTCCTATCGTTCGTGCTAAGGTGTGCTGGAGAAAACGTGGGCGAGAAGGTGCATAAAACAACCCCCTGCTCCTGCACTGAAATGAACTGTAAAGAATGGTGATGCGTCATTCTATGCGTCAACCCATTCTGTCCAAACATCTATCAGATTCAGGTCCTTGATGTTACATATATGTATGTGGGGGATAAGATGACCCCGGAACGCACTGTGAACAATAAGGCCCGCAAGGAAATGGCGCAGAACTAGCAGTGGTCCACCTGGTAGAATGCTGGAAAGTGGCCACCGTTCACTTCGGTTGATGCATGGAACAGCAGTTCATGCATATCGGGAAGACACATTTTGTGGAGAATTTGTGCAACTTACGATTACCCTAGGTTTTCTTCCTTGGAACGATGGCCTTGCGCCCTAGGTTCTCTTCTTTGGAACGATGGCCTTGCGCAGCCTCCTCTTCTTCTCGCCGAAGTATCTCCTAACTGCCATCAAGCGTGTGCACGAATTCCATCTCGTGAGACGCGGGAGGCGTGGCTGCACGATGCATTCTCACATAGCATAGGAGGGGCGATTCGAGGGGTGGTGCACTCCAGCTTGGGCAATTGTCATCCTATCTAGTGTTGGGCATTGACATGATTGCAAATGTCCCACAACGAAAATATCCTACGAAGAGCTCTGCCTCTGCCATAACCGAATTCCTTTACTATTGTGTC